TGATGGCCATGCCGTGTAATTAGCCACAAATTGTTTAGGCCTAGTTGAACAGGACACATTTGCAGGACGGAAAAGGCAAGAGATATATAGAAAGAGACGGGGATAGCAGGGAAGAGGGGGACGGGGCATGACACGAGTGGAGCGGAAACCGAAATTTGTGTGCGCAAAACCAAAAGATGACACAATTTCGGGTTTCACTAAAGTGCCTCGGCTTGCGCATGCATTTCTGTGTACCAGAGATGAGCTCGTGATTTGGTCTTTTTCAAAACCCTCGAATATTAAGAACGAAATAAAAATATCTTGTAAGAATCTAGGCTAAAGCAAATGCACATTTTGTGTATAACGCACCAAAATATTATCGACTTACACACACAAAAAAATTATTTGGTCAAATGGACCAAAATAAAAGTTAAAATCAATTAAATTGGCAATTTAACCAAAGAAATAGTTACTCTCACAACAACAAAATGCACACAACTTGCTATTTTCTTGTAGATTTACTATTATATAGTACCCAAATAAACAAAATACGCATCACTAGTTTGAATAATTGTTTACTTTTTTGTATGGGTAAGTAACTATCCGTATTGGTCAATTTTACCCATAACTTAAGGGGGTATTCTAGTCTAGAAATTTAAAAAAATCTAAAAATTTTTTTTTTCATAATTCGATAGTTTAGATATTCAAAAATATCTCCCTAATCGGATTTTTCAAAATTCAAATTATTTTTAAAATTATGGCTGATTAAGAGAATGTAAGTTATACGTGCTATTCTATCAGTTAGACTGCCTGAAATTTAACGTAAAACTTTAAACGCGTTTTTCTCAAAACTACTTTTTCTGATACGGTAGCCATAATATTTCAAGTTCTAATCAGCCGATTTACTTAAAATTTGGCATGAATATTCTTTCAATATCTCTCTATCGCATGAACCAACAAAAATTAAGAATTTAAAATTTGTAATATTTTTAAAAAATTCGATAAAATTAAAAAATTAGTAACAAAATCGACCTTTTTTTTGAGTGGCCGCCATTTTATGAAAAAAAAATTTTTTTTTAGTTTTGCTGGTTCATGACATAGCGACATTCGTACTGATTAAGAATCTTTTTTTTTTTATTTTTAAGATGACCACAAGGGTAGAAATCATGGCGACGAGGACACGGCCTTTTTTTTTCCCCCTCTACTTCAAGGACGCATAACTCGATGAAAAAAAAAATTTTTTTTTTTTAATTTTATTTTATGTACTCTTCTAAGTTAAATAAACAAATGATAAAAAACCCGACACTAAAAATATCAATTGTTTAGTTTTAATTAATTGTTAAAAAAGGCTCGAAACTAGAGCCTCTAGACTAGAATACCCCCTTAAGCGTACCCAAAAACTAGTGGAAAATAAAATGTAGGTATTATTATTTTATACCTTGGGAAAAGAAGAGAAAATTATATTATATATATTATTATTCTTAGAGTCCTTTTTAAGATTCATTTTTTTCAATAGAAGGCAAAGCGACTTATAAGGTATTAATTTCTACATATTAAGTCGTTTTGTTTTCCTAGTGTAGACCTAAAAATTCCCTCACGTGCTCACCTCTAAAAGTGCATGTGCTACCCCTCACCCCGGTCCACTTTATCCCCTCTATCGCCACAATTAAGTAGGCTGCCCATGTCCAGGCAAATTAAAATAAAATTTCCTTGCCATTTTTATTTGGTCTGCTCTTTCGGGCTTACCCTGACCAACAAAATAATTTTTGCGTGTGTATTTTTGGGACTTGCAACTTGTCGCCGCAAAATGAATTGAACTTTTATGGCTAATGACGTTGCACGTTGCATGCGGCATGCTGCATGGCACACGTGTCGTATACGCAATTACATAACATTTTCCGGGGACTTGTCCAACTTGTAATGCAGAGCGCTACTCCATCGATGGTGGAAAGCTGTTGGGGGGGAAAAGCTGTTGGCAGGAGCGATTTTGGAGTTGCTTAATTCGAGCGAATTTAGGGGGATTCGCAAATGCAGTATCTGTCGGTAGTGGACTAATGGAAATTGGTGTGTACAGTTAAGATATTCGGTACCCAAATTTTTCAAAAAAAAAAAATATTGTATAATGATCAGAAAAATATTCTTTGGAACTAGTTAACTGAGAAGCACTAAATATAAATCACATAATTTTTAAACATTTTCAAGAAAATATTCAAGTTACAGTTTATTTTCATAAGACATTGTATCGGATTGTTTTGGTACTATATAAATAATTAATTCTGTGATTATAAAATAATCTTTTATTAATTTCTTTGTGTTATGTACTAAAAAATATACCATTTAAATCAAAATTTTTATTTTACATGTATGTAAGTCCACAATTCTTTCCAGTTCTTAAAATTCCAACCAGATGTCTATTCATATTTGGCACATGACTCTGGGATCATAATTAATGTAAAAACATTTTTGGCTTGTAATAAAAATATTTTTAGGTTTCTCCCCTTGTTGAGCAGGGGATGGAAAATTGCTAATAAATTGCATTGAAATGTTGCGCATACGCAACGTGGCAAAAGCCCAAGACAAACAAGTTTGCTCTCCGGCAAAATGTCCTGGCATCCTTCGTCCTGGCTTTCTCTCTGTGTGCGTAACAGGTGCAGTGCGAGCAGAAGACGATGGAGAAGAGATAGAAGCCGAGTTTTGTTGCCATCCCGACTGCTGCTGCTTTTGCTGTTGATGCTGCCACAACTCAATTTATTTCAACATGTACTTTTGCAACAATGAATTTCACTTTAGTTGCTAATGGATTTCGTATAGAAGGCAGTCAGGCTGCAGTACTAGTAACTGTACACTGTGAGAAAACTATATATTAATGCAGGGATGTAATATAAGAAAGCCAAAAAAGTAGGAAATTATTAAGAAAATGTAAACTAGCTATTTAAGAAACCTTAATTTTATTAGGTGTGGAAATAATTATTTTAACTAGATAACCTTGAACAACTTAGAGCACAAATACTCCATTTCATTTACTATAAAGTGATAAGATGGTTATAATTTTTCGCAATATTCAGTAAATTCCTTAATGAGATGACCTATGTACATAAAATAAATATAAAAAAGCCATTTAATATGTTAAAATGTATTATTAATAAGCCTAGTCTTAGGTTCAAATAATAATATATTATTTTTCATTGTTTTTTTAAAATTATAAATTGAAGATGATTATTAAATAAGATTATACAAGTTGATTTTGTTAAAAATATGTGACCCATTCAATGTACAATTTTTAAACCAAAATAAAATGTATTTATGTTGCTCATTTTACTGAGTGTATTTAGTGGGTGGGGTGGCATCAGGGGCGGAACCCGTTTGTCTGCCCCTCAAGGGTTGAGTTTTTTCGGGTCAGCTGCTAAGGAACTGCGTCGAGTCCTTGTCCTTTCGCTCCTGTCTTCGATGTCCTCGTGTCCTGGTGTCTGCGGTAATGCATTTTGTTTGCTCGACTGCAGCAACGCACCCACAATGACAAATGAAAGTTGACGCGCTGCCTTATTGAGACAAATGAGGAGGGACTGTAGAAAGGACTGCGGGCACAAGTGCCGTGCTTCTGTGCTTTGGCTATAATCATGCAAATGACCGAAAGGTTGCCGCAAAATGAGCACTTTCCCCCGCCTGCAGCTCAGTAATTAGAAATGCACCGAAGGAATAAAAATAGGGGGCCAGGGGCCAGCCTTACTTATTCACCAATTTCGCTTCCATTTCCGTTTTTTGCCTGCAGAAGAACACTTAATTAATTTTCTTTTAAATTACATTTGCCTGGACACTTGTATCAACATTGTCCTGCCATTGTCCTGCCCACGACTGATGCTCATTTCGAAGCTCCTAGACGGGCATTCAATTCATTGTTGACTCGATAGAGTAAACTCAGCTCCAACTTCTGTTTCTCGTCCTAGTTCGTTGCTGAAACAGCAACAATTCCATTTCCATAGCCTGCCCTGTCCTGGATATTGTTTTTGCACTCGACGAAGGACACTTCGAGTTGTCTTAGTTTCTGTTTCCAGGCTCTGCTCGTGCCCCATAATGTCACCCATTTACCCCAAAAATTCTGTTAGCAATTGCGTATTACATTGCTGGCAAAATTTGGTCCAACAATTTGGGCGTTAAGTCGAGAAAGGATTGTAAATTCAGCTGGAAACATAAATGTTTTCTGAATTGCTTGAATAGCCCTGAGGGAATTTAAATTCAAGCCGGTTTGATTCAATTCGATTGAACTGGTTTTAAGGCAAAAATGCGAGGAATAAGCGGTTTGTAGATAAATATTTTACGTATTGGACAATTTGTTTTGGAATTCTTTTGAGTAATTTAAGCTAGATATTAGAAGAGACAAAGGCCTTGAAGTGATTTCTGAATCTTTTTTATTAGGGAACAAAAACGATTTAAGACAATCAATTTACCAGATTATAAGCTTTTCCGTTTAGTTTTTTTAACTTTCACCTACACATAGAGAATTCAAGTACATTGTTCTTGAATTGAAAACATTCGTTTTTAAAAACCGTGTAAGTTCATTTTTGTAGCAATGTTCTCAATATTAAGAAGAGAAAAGTTAAATTGAGTTTTTTTTATAAACTTTTAGATAAGTATACGCTACTGACTGAACTAATAGTTTATCTGTTCAGATATACAATGTACATACCGCCAATTTAATTTGTTTCTACCAAAATAAAAATATTTTCAACTTCAAAAATGTTGTTCTATTTTTTAAGAACATTTTTAACTCAGATGAGAACGTCAGAATTTTCCCTGTGTATGTATAAATATTAAATGTAGATATTTCATAAGGAAGGGGATGACACAATCTTAGTTACTATTTTCTAGTTCCACTTTATTTTGAATATGAACCTACTTCTTGGTAATTATTGGAATAATTGGAAGTAATCATTTCCTATATTAGTTGTGCCATTTGCACAATATTTCAACGTTTATAGTGCACAATTAATTGCATTAATGGCACACTCGTGAAATTCGCTCCTCAGCTGCATTTAATCACCCCCCACCTTATTTGGGAGACAATTTCAGTGCATTTCACTGCGGGATATTCATCAGACCGCAGTTTCCGCTTGTTGCTCTCCAGGTGATTTCCCCTCCTTTCCGGTCTCTTACCAGTGTTGTTGTTTGTGCGACAGGTACCACTGTAGTTGTTGTTGTTGTTGCTATTATTGTTGTTGTTGCCTCTGTTGGTTGGTGGCGACTCCTTAGTTACACATGACATGTGTCAGGTGCAATCAAATACGGTTTCAAAGCTTAAACGCTTTTGGCGCAATGCGTGAGAATTTCAAACGGTTTACGGTTGCCAGTGGAGCAGTCAAGGCCTCACGTGTCCCCAAAACTGTAGGCTCTTTCCACTTTCCCCCCCCCCCAGCCATTTCAATATTTACTTTTGTGGCATTGCTTACTAATTGAATTTATGTACAAAATTTCTCAAACAAAACTTTGTTTGCCTCGAAGGAGGAAGAAAGTGCCGAAAAGGGGTGGTGGTACATATATAAAATGGGGTTGGCGAAAAACGGCGACACATGTGTGCGATTGAAATCAGTTTCGGCAGTCGCTGTCTTTCCACCTCTCTCTTTTTCGAAGAATTTTCAGTCCCATTTTCCGGGGTTTCCCCCTCTTTGTAATGACATTTTAAAACAATTTGCCCGCTTAATTCGGAGACATGTAAAGTTTTTTAATTGTCAACAAATTGGCAACATTTTCAGGAGGAGGAGAGTCCAAAAAAAAAACACAAGAGCTCCAGAAACTCGACTAAAAGATACTTGGTTTTATAAGTTATAAAACAAAGTGTAATTTATTAAAGTATATTTATTAAGTATTTGTAAAAATTGAAAATTTTAAGATCTTTACTTAATTTGATATGCCTAAGATGGTTTTTTCTCAACACCTTCATAAAGAATATACCCCTAAGTATCTAGGGAAAGACAAGAAACCCCGAGACATTGGAAAGTCGTCGCCAAAGTTGCCGTCACATGTTGCACTTCTCAGCCCGCCATAATTGCTCCTAATTGAAATGCGAAACCCGCAACAAAACTGAACCGAAATGCCAGCCATTAAATTCAGGGGAAAATTCACCAATTTAGTTGCCATTATTTGAGGGATGCAAGCAAACTCACATGTGTGTTAATGTAAATTTATGTTGGGGCTTTACCAAGAAAAAAAAAAAGACTAATTTGCACTTGGGAAATGTGAGAAATGTGTGTGTGTGAGGAAAAACCGCATTGGAGAGGTTTGTCCTCGGGTAAAATGGGATTTTTATGCAACACACAAGGCTGACCACAAGATGCAGCTAACACACACACACACGAAAGCCAGCAGATTGTGGTTGCAACACTCGACTCCTGACGGATTTTATTGCCTTAAAGCTCATTATGGACCCGAGGAAATTGCATCTAACGCTTAATTAATGCTCGGCTTACAACATGCGTCCACAGACATCAAAAGCATTATTTTCCAACTGACATTGTTATGGTTCTTAGTTTCTGCTTTCAGTTTCCCAGTTTTACCCCCACTTGCCAATTGTAAACACAGTCTAGAGTCAACTTTTGTGGCTTGACGTGTTTGCGAGTGCGTTAGATTAAGCTCGACTGAAGCCGTGAAAAGAGCAAAACAAATATGAAATGGGAGTTGGGTAACTGCAAAATAAATTGCAACTTTTGCAAGTGGAATAGTTCCCAAGTTGGAAATAAATTAGCATTACCAGGAGCAATTCAATAAGGAGAATCCTTGCAACCGAATAGTGCGAAGACCTGCAAGGGGAAGAAAGTGCAAAATAATTGTTTACGAGGAAAAATCTTCAGCTTAAGAACTTCTAATAAGAAAAACGATTTGAAAGTTCCTTAATCGCATAATTTTAAATATTATTTAGAAACGTAGATTAATAGCAAATATACATTAGTTTTAATATAAAAATGAATATATGTATTATTTTGAAGGTTCAAAATAAATCTAACAAAAATAGCAATATACCTATTAAAAAAGACTTTAAATGTTCTACTTTAAATTTGGCATAGACATAGATTTTTCCAAAATCTGTTGTTTTGAGAATCCAAAATTATTTATATTCACCAAAATGTGTATAATCTAAAATTATTTATTTACACCAAAATGTGGATGCTAAACTATTTAAAATAATATCAGTCATCCATAAAAGTGATGTCTTTAACGCTGCGTATCTACATTTCCTTTTAATACTAAATTAAACAAGCAAATTCCCAAACCCCACATTAACGTGTGGATTTAAGATTTATCCAATGCAAAAATGTCCTTGCAGTGTCCTCATGTTGATGATGATTACGATGACTTGGACTTGACTGCGGTGACTTGACGATGGCTCCCGGGCCTCACTTCCACTTAAACTTAGCGAAGAAGTCGGCCTCGTAACTGAAAACCCTTTGGGCAGGGTCTCTGGGGTGTTTCTGGGGTGGCAAGGAACTCGGGGGTTCCCCGTTAAGTGTGTCTTTGAGGCAAGGGATTGGACTGAAATGCGATGAGAAGAGAAGATACGAGATGAGAGGACGAGTTGAACCGAGCTGGGGCATGTCCTTGCCATCGCATGAACTTTTAATTTACAACTGCGTCTTTTTTTTCCCCCTCTATTTTTCTCCGTTGATTTAATTTATTATGCAAATGTTTCTGAAAGCAAGACAACGTGCTGCTCTCGGATGCCTTTTTCTCATATCATCATAATTTAAGGAGAAAGCTACCGAAAAAATGTTAGCGGGAAACTAGCTTCAAGTAGTCGACCCTTAAATAGTCTTTGAAATATGCATTTTAAGATATTGTTAGACAAATAAAAATACCTTGCCCTAAAGACTTGCATGTTGAATTACAAATAATAATCTTAAGACTATCTCTAGAATGTAAACTATGATATGGTACTATGTTTAATTACAAATAATAATCTTAAGACTAAACTATGGTATTTATACTATATATATATATACTCTACTATTTATATTATATTTTAAATTCTTATTCTGATATACAAAATCATTACTTAATTTACTTCAAAACTTTTACTTATTTGTTTTTTTTATTAACTTATAGAATCTTATCATATATTATTTATTATATTCTTTTTTTTTCTTATTTACTGATAAAAATATATCATATATTATATATTATATTCGTTTTTATTATATATATTTAATATATATTATATATTATATTCACATTCTGAACTATAAAATCATTACTTTATTAACATTAATACTTTTGTTTATATGTTTTCCTATTAAGGGAACATATTAACCCTTGAAAGAGTATCTTAAGCTGGCGCCTAAGTGAGCGCCACAACAAATGACGGCAATGTCAAAATTTTCTCACCTCGATTTTTCATCTCATTTAGAACCCCTAAGACGAAGACATGTGTGTGCTCACTTGTGTTTGTGTTTGGGTTTATCAGTCACATAATGCCGGCATGCTGACATCATAACTTATAACTTGATAAATAACTATATGTGTTATCCCTCTTATCCTTTTTTGGGAGCTCCCTTCGCAGACAAATGACTTGACTGAAAGCGAGACCCTCAAAAGTCGGGGGCTGGAAAAAGAGGGGGTTGAAATATTTATCCCTCTGTCAGAGTGTGTGTTAAGTTTATCCTCATCTTCCTTTGTCTGGGGCTATTTTTTTGAAGCTTCTTTTGTTGTCTGCCAAGAAGTTGTCAGGAACTTTCATTACTTTTTAAGCCCATTGGTTTATTTTTTCTACCCATTTTTACGTAGGTACTCTTGTCTTATTTTAAAATGTATAATTAGTAGCCAATTATAAAGTACAACAGACTTCCTTGTTATTAAAAACAAGTGTGCACCTTTATAAATTTAATATTAAAACCAAAAATACAAATTTTTTCTATATTTTTTAACTGGATGAGTTCAGTTTTCCTAGGCTCATTGATGCATGGTGGAAAACTTCAGACGCAGACAACGTGACGTATGATTGTGCCATGATATGTGGCCACAATGAACTCAACCTCCACCCCTTTTTTTCAACCCTCTTTCCACCCTTCAACAGCACATGCCACGAATGTGAATAAAGCTTGAAAAATATTTTACACATCAGCTTTGGACATGGCCGAGCTGGAAACAGGTTGCACATGTAGTTAAAGCCCTCATGCATCCTTCAACATAAACAAACGGCCAACACGTACACGCACTCACACAGACGCATATTTCAAACTGTACTATAAAATGTGCAAGGACCTATGTATAACTAGTAGAAAAACAGTTTATTATATCCGTTTTAGAGTAGGATAGTTCTTAAAATAATATTTTTTATATAATACTTTTTTTTAAATATAAAAACCTCTATAAATAAAAATCTAGAAAGATCGTGCGCTATTCTAAAAACATTTCCCAAATCTGTCATTAAAGTGTAACCAAACAATATAATAAATTTTGCTACACTAGACTAACAAAAAGTAAACAGAAAAATATGGACAATACTTTTTGGGCTAATGTGGAAATAGTCCATTCGAGACCAAGTGAAAGTCTCCCGACTGAGGTCTGGTAGCCAAGTTTTAATGAGCCCTGTGCCGAGATTTGACCTGGCTAACTTTTAATCCGCCTAATATGAGGCACTCGGTCGGGAAACACTGCACTACAGAGTTATGAAATATGCACAAACATTAAAATGTTTTTCACTACTTTTCGGTGCTAACATTGAGGGTAGTCGGAACTAATGAAATGAGTTAGTTATGCTCGGGGATTGTGCATTTTGCAAGCATTTTTCATAATTGCCCGGTTCAAAGGCAATGGAAATTGGCAAACAACAGGAAAGTTTTCCCTTAACCCCAATGGATATTGCGATACTTTCAATACGGGGGGCGGCTGAAAAAACAGTATTAAAAAGTTTCCATTTTCGTTCAGTCATTCGGTCTTCCTCTCAGTGAAATCCACTTAAATGTGTTTTTCCAATTAAAAAACTTTTTCCTACACTTGAAAATTTTCGAGTATGTGCGAAAATCTTTTATGCGAATTGCATTCGGCAAAAGGCAACAGTCAGGGGGAAAAAGGAGGGGTTTTTTGTGGTGGCACAGAGAGAAGTCAGCCACAGAAACCTAATGAAAAGTGATTACAAACATGATAGATAAATGCTGACTGGCCACAGTCTCGGTCTACTCTGTATCACCCCCCCACCCGCCTTTTAGCTCTAGGATTTTCCCAGGACTTCTTACTCTCCAGTACAGTTGCCTGAGTAAAACATCTTTCGGTTTGGCATTTGCCACTAAATGGTCAAATAAACTTTTTGGCACTGCTATCGCTGTAATGAACTTCTTAAGAGCTTTTCCATTCTACTTCTCACCGCCATTGTCTTTTGCCCCTATCTGGCTTTAAAC